CCTTTCACATCTTTCACATGTTCAAACTTTTGGTGTTGTTCATTTGCATTTTTTATTGCATTGTAGTTCTGATATAATAGTATCCATAAATCCATAAAAATAAAAGGTTGCTTCTTAAAAGGTTTACCTTCTGCCAGTTTTGTAAGGTATAGTCATCAGGGTACACAGTCTGATCATCATTTGTCAGAGATGCTCCATCCTTGTTCTCAGCTCCGGCAGAAGAAAACATTTGTGGCTTATTTCCATAACCTCTCACAATAAGACATGGACCATCTTGGCTATGTACAGCAGAATCTGATAAATAAAATAGAAATTATATGAGATTGATTTTCATATGCCAGTGACACATGCAAAGTCAAGAAAAAATATGAAGTTGTCTCAGCAGCAATTGATCTTATGACCCTCTGATGTGGCCAGTTGGATTTATCTGGTTTTGCCAATGAGTGAGCATCAAGTGTTGAAAGAAATGACTGTGTACATGTATGTTGAAAATAAAATTAAAAAAGTGTTGTGAGTAAGAAGTTGCGTACTTTAAGTTATTAATATACTGTAAGATTTTCACAGTGTACTGGAAATACATATTAAGTAGCTACAACTGCAGTGTATCATAAAATCCCTTTTAAGGGTTTACTTTTCTTGTTTGCATTACGATATAACCTACATGCACCATGCTTGAGAGGAAAACACTGACTGTGAAAAGGGCTACTGTAAAAGTAGTGGAAACGGGGTATTAGGGAATAAGTTAATTGTGCTTTTGTGAGTAATGTGATAAAAAACAGGAAACAGGAACCTCTCTCCACCGAATCCAGAAAAAAAAATGTAAAGCAAAATTCCTCTCCTCACATTATGTGGGATTATGGGTTCAATACCTGTCTGACCTACAGACGATGCTTGCTCTTCAACATCAGATGATGCTTCCTCTTCAACATCAGATGATGCTGGGTAATACAGTTGCACTTTACCTATGAAAATTCAATTTTAAAAGTGAATAGTAAACGAAAAACATTATAAATAGCACAGCTATACAGTACCCTCTTTTCTCAGAGTGGCTTACATTGAAACCCTTCTACCTCAAACAAGAAGTAATTTTCCTCAGATTTTGTCCTTTACCAGAAAATAACCCTACTACTGTACCTTTAACTAGGTTGCCTAGCGATACCACAATAAAAAAGGTTGTGAACTGTAGAATTCGAAAAAAAATCCCCCCCATTTTGGATGTGCCTTTCTTGAGAAGAAAGACACTAGTAAGCAGAAAACAATTGGCGAATTAACTGGATATCATAAACCTAACCACTAACAATTAAGTCCTACACAGTGGTAACTAGCAACCATCATTCTCTAAGAGTTTGTCAGGGTTTTCCTGAACTCTTACTGGTTATCTTTTTATAGACACATAAAGTTACAGTATCAGATAATTTGCCACCACTGTTGCATTCCCTGCCCTCACAAGAGAAAGATCGATGAT